TCTTGAGGGCCGAACGCAATTTCCAATCGAATATTCCGGTGAGCGGGAGGGTACCTACAAAAGGCACTCCGACGCTCAAGTCAGGACAAGTACAGATATCAATAATAATTAATGAACAGTGACGTTACCTCGTGACATGAGCTATTTATACTGACATTGATGGACCCTGACTCTCATGGGCCCTGTCACAGGATTACCATACTAGGTAATACGCCTCTGATCGGCTTACTGGTGTGATTAGTTCTTAACTCTTGATTAAGGGTAATCCTTAACTCTTGGATTAATGATGATATGAGTTTAGAGCCTTCAGTGGCCGATCAGCCGTCGACTACCTGGTTCGGTCGTTTAGGTGCCGATTGGGCATCGACCACCTGGTTCGGCCGTTTAGGTGCCGATTGGACATTGGCTACTTGGTGGCCTAATGGCCTTACTAGTACAATTTTAATTTAACAGATAAATGATTTAGGCCTTATAATTATTCATGTTATAATAAATTGGTGTTATTTGTTTATTATCTTCTTGGTTTTAGAGATTTTGCCCGAACACCAACTTAGATAGGTAAATATCCTTAGTTTAGAAGATTTGCTAACGATTCTATGTTTAGAGAGGTTGGAAAGTATTTATCAAATTTGGATTAAAACAAAATTATCTTACCAGTTTATTATCTTTTTGACAAGCGAATTAAATCGTTCAAATATTCTTAAATGAGAAAAGTGTTAATCTCTCAAAGACTTGTATAATATTTGACAATTTATCCAAGATTTATTATTTTGTTATACTTTTTTACAAATAATAAGTGATTCACAAGATTAATATCACTTTTCTTAACAAGGTTTATCTAAAAAATAATTTTTAAAGATTTTTAAAGAAGCAAAATCAAGACGATTGTTCAAACATGGTTAACATGTTAGGGTTAGACTCTCAAAGCTTCATAAGAAAATAAATATATATTATCTTTGAACTTCAAAACCACATCCGATTGTAAATATTTTCTTAATCCTAATCCCTTTGACGAAAAGAACTAAGTTTCTCTATTAAATGTCAATCCCCTAATCATCATTTGATAGAGTAACTTGCATTAAGTGATATCCTTCAATAATATTAATGAATCACATTCATTCCTAAAATAAGATTCATTAAATGTATTACTTCAACTCAAGATTAAGAGAATATTTTTAATAATAATCTAAATTATAAAACAAGATATGGGTGATTAAACTATAACAAATATGAAATATAGAAGTAAATACTCTGATATTAAAGTACAAAGACAAATATATTCATAACAATAATTACATACAAATGAGTTCAGCTATATCTAATCCTATGAATGATTGGATTAGTTGTCCATTCCCAATGATAGCCACAAGAGAAAACGATAAAATGAAGGAGAAAATGATTCCTTTTTGCTCTCAGTTCCTACAACAATAAAATAATAACCTCTATTTTCCATGTTACTTCCCTTCCTTTTTTCCCTATTAAAACATGACTAACATTAATTCCTAAAGAGAAAATGTGATCGTCAGGTGAATGATGAGTCTCGCCGCATGATCTAAAATGATACAAAAAATGGATATTGTCTTGTCCTCAACCGCCTAGCGACTTAACACAACGTTGAGTGATTGTATGTAAAAACCTAATTTACTAAACCAAACTTGACAGTATCTTAGTTTGTAACATTGTTATTAATGTAATTTATACAACAGACTTGAGATTCTCATGCATGGGAAAGTTAATTACTGTACATGAGAATGACTGGGATTGGTGATTTAGTTTTATAGATTTCTTTCAAAGTAGGCATGAAGTTTGTTAGTGAAGGAATTGAACAAGAGGTTTTAACAAGAAAAGAATAACCTGTATATTAAAGTGAGTTCCAGTTTAAATAACATCTCACAAAAAAAATTTAGTTCCAATTTCATTTGACTCAATATTTTGGGCAAACAACTACTGCTGCAAGGTTAGTCATCCGTCTGAGCTCAATCTTACAATCATGAAATTCATATTGGACATGTATTACATGGGTGCAGTTATTCTCTAAAATTACTCATACAGAACATCTCAGTAAAAATAATAATAATTGTACTTAAATCATATTATTTATAATTATTTTTTTACTTTTATGTATATTTACGCTCATGCACAACTTATTAATTTCAATCATTATATATATATATATTTTTATATTAATTGTCATTTTTTTTCATTCACAAAGATAATATATGAGTTAATCATCCATACACTGCTAGTGTAAAATTTTTTACACTGGCAACCAATCATATCTTTTAAATTATTTTATTTTATTTTTATTTGATTAAATAAGTGAATGACATGACACTATTAAAAGATATGATTAGTTGTTAGTGTTAAAAAACTTTACACAAATAATGTATGGGTGATTAACTCATAATATATTACCATAAATACTAAAACAAAACATTAATCTACGATTAATGTATAAATCAATACGTTCAAACATAGTAAAGGAAATTGTTATAATATATAAAATATATTAAATTGTAAAAATGTGTTATTTATAATAATAGACAAATTAGCTTAATAAATAAATTATATTTTATTTAAATAAAATAGTATAGATATACAAAGTACCTTGAGTGTTAATAATAAAAAAGACATTAATGGCCTTTAGACTATTTTGATATTATTTTTATAAATATTATACTAAAAAAAATTGCTCATTAGAATAAAGATGAGAATTTTGGAATCATTAATTCAATCTTTAACCTATAGGCATAACGTTCTTTATCTATTTATTTATTTATTATTATTTAGTACATAAAAATAATATGCAAAACTCACCACCATGCTAAGCTTATCTTTCGAGTTTCGATAATTTGGTAACCACGCCACCCAGCCTATCATACATTTTCTTAATATTTTATAGATAAAATATCAAATAAAAATAAATATATTTAATGTTAAAAATTCAATATATCTTTTATTTAATAAATAAAACGATTAGTAAAAAGATTGTTGTGTAGTGGGGTTACCACACATATACACATGTATCCATATTGGTGATATATTGTCCGCTTTGAGCCAAGCCTTCACGGTTTTGCTTTTAGACATCACCCAAAAGGTCTCTCAATCAATAGAGACAACTATGTGTACATAAATCCATGTTCATCCTCTTGTTTGAATGATGTAAGACTTTGTTTGCATCCCAACAATTCTCCCCTCAAACAAAGGACCACTGTTTACCCCCTCCCTTGCAGCGAAAACCCAAAAGGTCTCTCAACCAATGGAGACAACTATGTATATATAAACTCATGTTCATCTTCTTGTTTGAATAATGTGAAACTTTGTTTGCATCCCAACAATCTTCCCCTCAAACAAAGGACCACGGCCCTCCCTTGCAGCAAAAACTACGTGTATTATCCGATGGTGGCCCACACGCCTCCCAACCCTCTTCCGTTTATGATGTCCCACATGCCTCCTAACCCTCCATCGTTTAGGAAGATTTTTGGCACAAGGGATCACAAACTTGGATCCACCTGCCAGCCATCATACCGGTCGAGTCAGTCACCTGATCAGACCATCAGCTCTGATACCACTTGTTGTGCACCGGGAGTTACCACATATATACACATGTCTCCACATTAGTGAGATATTGTCCAATTTGGGCCAAGCCTTCACGATTTTGCTTTTGAACATCACCCAAAAGGCCTCCCAACCAATGAAGACAACTATGTGTATATAAACTCATGTTCATCCTCTTGTTTGAATGATGTGAGATTTTGTTTACATCCCAACAAAGATCTTATAGGAAAATTTAAAATTATTGAAAGAGAAATATAAGATTGTCATTATCTTGCACAGTTCCAAAAGGCATTTGACAAAAAAGTAAAATAGACTTAAATACGTTTTATTATATGTAAAATGAAAAATATAATAAAATTGACTATTGTAAAAAAAAATATTTTTTTATCTTCTAAAATTTAAAATCACTAATTTTTATCCTTATTATGCTATCTTTATTAATTATTTATATTTATTACAAGTTTAAGTGATTATTTCATTCGTCACTTAAAATTATATGTGATATTATATCAATATTTGACACTTTAATTTTTATAAATTTTTAAAATGTTATTTATTTATTTTAAAATTAACATTAAAAAATAATGACTGGATTTTAAACGAATGGAAGAAAAATAAATTTATAAATACTAAAATTAAAATTTATTTATTTTACAATAATAAAAACAATTCTAAATTTTACAAGATTAAAAATAAAAAATTATAACATACTCATTTTATCATAACCAAAAACATTGAAACAAAGAAAATATTTTTGCCTTTTCTCAAACTGGTCTTCCTGCGTGCGATGGATACGGCTAAGATCGGTTATAATGCTAGTTGGTAAATCAAGTCACAAGATTGTGTGATTGACAAAAATAACTGTAACAAAATATAACATAATAAATCAGACATTTTATCGAATATTTGTACTTCAATAAAACAAACTTATAAATTAATTAAATAAATTATAAACTAATTACATTTGTTTATTAAACATAGATGAAATCTTGAATGGTACCGTGTACATTCTTTTGTTGGTAGGCCTCATCTGAATAAAAGGGGCTGAGCCCAACTAAGTTTAATATATATATTTTTATTTTATTTTATTTATAATATGACAAATAGTAAATCAACTAGAATTGGCTACCCTCACATCGTGTTCAAGGATTGACTTATACAAATTTGAAGTAAATTAGGTCGAGCCAATTAATTTTAATTATTTTAATTTAGACCAAATTTACTAAAAAAAGAACTTACAACAAAAAATATTATAATTCAAACCAAACTAAACTAATCAACAATAAATTAATTTGATTCAGATTAATCAATTTTCTATTTTTTAAAAAAGCAGATATTTATTTTTTTAAATATGAATACATCATTTCATCCCAAATTTTTTTTAATATAATTATATTATTCAAAAGATTGTAAATAATATTTAAACATAAATAAGAGTATTATAAGAAAATATGAATTTAAAATGTTCCAACATAATTTAACATAATCCAATGTTTGAAATTAAAATATTTCAACATTTAAAATTAAGGTTGTTTCTCAAAGATAACTAAATTGTTTAAATTACAATCATTATTTATTCAAGAAGTCTTCATGCATTCTCTTTTCAACTTGAATGTCAACCTGCAAATAATATATTAAGTGAAACTAAATGTTAGAAATTACTTAGCATTTAGTTGCTTTGCAATAAATATTAAATCTAGCTATGGAAACAAGTGAGAAAGTGTGTTGTGCAACTATTAAAATAACATTATAAAAAAATATTACTGTTAGTACAACACTAAATTAAATATATCTGTGAAGTGTCAATGACATAATGCTATGTTACTAATAAAATCATAATATTATAAAACCACAGTAAAATAATAATTAAAATGATAAAATAAAATCATAATGTTAGTCATTGAAATTGTAAATGCAAATCCATGATCCAAAAAATTAAAGTCAAATTTATTTAGTTTTGATTTGACAAAAAAAAAAACTGAACCAATTTAATTGTTTTATCGGATTGTCAAAAGGCAAATCTCAAGATTCTATGAATATCTATAAAGATGTTTATAGATTATCCACCAATAAGAGTTTCATATGAACAGAAATCAAACTCAAGTCGTCTTAAAATGAGTCCATTCTTTATCAACTGAACAAACTTTTGTCGGTTTCTGTACCAACAAATATTAAGGATAGGTTTATAATCACCTCTAATTATAAGAGTACATTATCCACCTTTTCCTTTGATCAAACACTTCAATAATACCATCTAGGCCTAAGTCATACTCGAGGTGGATCAGAGATAAACATACTAGTTAAAGTCACGATAGCAACTTCTCTATATCCTTAAATTTTGAAATGTAAGCTTCCAACTTGCAAGCAGTAAAGCAAATTCTACCACACATTTGTTTTCCCTATTTTCCAACCCTGAGACTGATGTCAGTTGTATTGTAGCTACTCTCTTACACAATTTTAACGTAGTTGGGCAAGGACACAATTATTTATTTGGGTTTAATACTAAAAAAATTAAATATATTTGGGTAAGTACACAATCATATATAACAGTCAAACAAAACTAAAAATAGAACAACTAAATTTGACCTAATGGTGAGAGTTGGAGAGAGTTGAAGTAGTATTCAAAAGATCTTAAGATGGTCTTCAGTATAATTTTAATATTAAAAAATAAAAAATTACTCACAGATCTATTTATTAATCTATTTAGTGTGGTGTCATCTAAATGTATAGATGGATATGTGACCACCTAGATATTTACATAAACTTTTCAAAGTTAGCATTAATTGCACGCACTTATCTCTCCTATTTTATATAACTATATATTTATACACGGTGAATGCTGCTGATAGATGCTGTTTTAAAAAATTACATATACCTCAGCTTCTTTAATGAGAATAATAGGCGCATTACTCATAAAAGGAAGGGAAGCAAATTTTCAATTTGTTATTAGCAATAACTTGTTTCAAAAAAGAAGTTAGTGTAAATGTCCTCCTTAAAAAAAACCAAAATCTATATGCAATGTGTAATCTAGACTACTTTATGAGAATCCACTTGGACTTGGTTATATGGTTGAAGAGTGAAGTAAAGTTGTGGCGACGTGCATGGAGCTTTGAGTATGTGTGGTTGGTTTTCTTATCCAATGACAATGCGTCGATTTGGGGAGTGAAATGAATTGGGATCTTAAAGCCATTGTATTGTAGACTTTGGTTTTGGCTACACATGATAATGGTATGTGCCACAAATAAACTTACACATGGCACAGACTCACCGATGCCAGAGAGAAAGGGAGCCAAGGAGAGAACAAAAAAGGAGACAACAGTGGAAACCCTATTCACGCCAATCCATGCACCACCACTCAACTAGTAAAAGACGAAAAAAAAAAAACAGATGGCATCCCATAAAACTATATATGCTCACTGCCCAACTTATTTATGCTTACCAAGAAAGCAAGCGGCTAGCTCCTGGTATTGCACACAGCACACTAATCCATGACCATCCTCTTTCAAATTAAATTTAAATAAATAAAACAAAACACACTCTCACTCATATTCACACACATTATTAAATATTTATCTTCTATATATCCCCCTAGCTTGGTTTACAAAGGGAAAAGCCAAAGCACATGTGTATATATATATATATAGGGAGCATATCAAGTGAGAAAAATTTATTATGAGAGAGTGAGAAGGTTAAAATATAATCCTTAGATTAATTTTCTCTAACTTGATTAAATCTCAAATTTTTTCTCACTTGATTAATCTAAGGGTTATATCTTAACCTTCTCACCTTCTCATAATAAATTCTTCTCACTTGATCCCTATATATATATATATATGAATGGAAGAGAAAATAAATAAAAAAGACTAACCAAATTACACCAAGCAAAGCATAAACAATAACAAGGGTCTACATTATACTAATCAAAAAAAGAAAGATGAAAGGCGTAGGTTTACTTTTGTCTTACCATGCGAGGAACTTAGTTCTTGCCTTTGCCCTTGTGGTCAGAATGTCTGGTTCCATCGAAGACAGGTGAGAACTGAGGCTGGTGATGGTCCATGGTTGGAGAAGCAGAAGCAGAAGCAGAAGCAGGAGCTCCTATAAAGAAAGGTATATTGGATGATCCGTCTATGGTTTGAAACCTCTGGAGGTGAGGCAAAAAGGACGGAGAATTGGACTGAAGGGTCCCCCTATTGTAACCATTAGAGATGCTGAAGTTGAGGTTGTAGTCACCCCCGCTAGGCTGAGGCTGAGAAGAAGTAACCATAGCTGGCATGTTAAGATGGTCAGACATGAAGGAGAAATGCTGCATCTGGTCTCCTCCACTGAATGGAAGGGCATATTGGTGTTGTGCTGTTCTTGCAGATGAAACCAAGAGGCCTGAGCTGAAGTAGTCCATAGGACTAGGAGTCACTGTTGAGGACCAATGTTGCCTTCCCTTGTTGAATAGATTGGCCTCATCATGGATCTGATGAACTGATGATCCATTAGGACTTGTGGTTGCTGTGCTCCCAATCCCACCAGTGAGAAGCTCAGTGAAAGAAGCAGTGTGTGACATGGGGACATTGTTTTGGTGATGTCCAATGCTGCAATCTTTTTCCTTGTCCTCCTTTTCTTTCTCCTTGTCTTTTGCTGCTCTTTCCCTTGCCCTCTCCCTTGCCTTCACACGGATCTCAGACCTTGAGAGGGACAAGCCAGACCCCTTGCTTGTCTCAGAAGTGCTGCTACAAGCAGACTTGGACAGAGACACATTCTGGCTTTGGTTTTGCTGCAGGTCTGCATCTGCATCATCAAACCCACTAGGCCTTTTCTCATCACTTTGTTGCTTAGGGGTATCAGGGAAAGGGTTGTTGAGTGAAGGAAGCTCTGAGATGGCATCTTCAGCAGCTTTGATTAACCACTCCACGGCTTTGCTGGGTTGATCATAACCCAAGCGATCTTGAAGGTCATAGAACTGAATGGCTGTGGTCACAGAGAGCCTAACCCTTCTGTCTCTTAACCCTTTTGAGGTCATTACCTTGCTGTGCCTGTCTTTGCCACCAGATGCTCTAGACACCCTTATGATTCTTGAAGAGTGGTGCCAACTACTTTGGAAATGGTTTGTGCTACCAACACTTCTTCTTCTTTGTTCTCCATCCTCCTCCTCACTCCCTCTGCTGGAACCTATCTCGTTTCTACTATTTCCAACTCTAGGGAACTTACACGCCTGTGCTTCAATCTCATCCTCCTCCATATCACAATCATGCCTTTTTACCAACAACAGAAGCTCAAGTGTTTGAATCTCAACCCACTTGGTCTTCTCTTATCAAGTGGAGTGTGGAGATAGAGAGTGCACTGAGGGTGGGGTTGTTGTTATGCCCTTTGCATTGATGACTATGACTCAAAATCAGAGAGTACTTTGGCCGTGTAGTGATAAATCGCAGTCCGAGTCAGAAGCTTTTTTCAATCGCAGAAAGAAAAAAAAAGCTTTCAAAAGCAAAAGACTGAGTAGGTCTCAGAGCCTCATCCTCACCTCCTGCAAACCAAAAGCAACACCACAGCCACAACAACAAAAACAAAATAGTTATTATTATCATCCCAAAAAAAATTTAAAAATAAACAAAGCCATCAGAACATTCTCATGTTCACTTATTACACAACAGATGGGATCTGAGTCTAAGTATGTTGCTTAGCATAACACCTTAAAAAGTATAATCCTTAACGTTTTATTAAAAAAAAAATGAAAACTAAAAAAAGTATAATAAAAATTATGCTTGGAGACTCATATAGAAACATGTATTATGTACCTACCCTTGATCCAAGTCTTTGCACTTTTTTTTTTAAGCTAAAGCAGCAAATTTCGCAGTTGGGTCGCCGATCTGTGCCAAACCCCTTTTCGCTTCTGCTTGTGTTTGTTTAAAGCTTTTTCATATCCTTAAAATAGCAGACATTATGCAAATCTCATCAGAAGCCACACCACAAGAAGGTTGTTCATTATAGCATATGTATAGTTTGAAAATTAGAATTATTGTTTAACATAAATTAAAAGCACGGTGAGTTAGCTAGGTTTCTTACTTTGAACATTGTTGGATCGGGTTTTGCGAAGGAGAAAAGAAAGAAAGAGTGTGGTGTGTTGGTGACGTGAGTGACTGTTCCGACACCTCACAGATCTGTGAACCTGAAGTTCCATTAATGGAAGAAAACCAAAAGGGAAAATGAAATTCAAAACCTAAATATATGAGGTGATTAAAACACATTATTACATTTTCAGATCAGTTCCATTAATTTGTGAAGAAAAAATAAAAGAAAAAATAATAATATTTTTGGATGAAATTGAAAGTTAAGTGATTTGAAAGAAAATAAGAAAGGTTGGGAGGGAAGAGGGTAAGAGAGGTTGGTTGCGTTATTTGAAGAATTGTTGAATTTTGTAAATGGTGATGGGAAGAGGCAAGAGCAAAGGTTAGAAGCGTGTTTTGAGTTTGGATAAGACTTACAGGAGAGTTGCTTTTGTGTGTCTGTCTGCACATGTAAACAGAAAAGTGAGTGTTTTCCGAAGAAAGCGAAGGGAAATTGTGGGTATGCGATGGTTGTGTTGTGTTGTGTGAGATGCTGATATGTATCTATCTATCTAGAGAGAGAGAGAGAGAGAGAGTAAGTAGAAGAGAAGCTTAAGATGAAAGATGAAGAAGAAGAAGATGAAAGAAGAGATTGTTCGAACAATCACCGGGCTTATCGGGAAACGACAGACACTGCGCTGTTTCACACTTTATGTATTTCTCCTTTCTTCCAACTTTGCCACTGCTTTCTTATTTCTATTCTATTCAATCTACTCATTTTACCTCACTCCCACATTTATTAATCTCATTATTATTTTTTAATACATTAATTATAGTACGACTTTTTTATTATTATCATACTTTTTCTATTTTATTTTGTCTGATATATATATGTGGTCGTCTTGGTGATGGGAAGTGATAGATATCAAGTTCGAGTGATAAGAAAAAAATTAATTAGAAATTCTTAATTAACATAACTAGTTAATTATTAATATTTGTTAAAAACTTCATTTTAATTTTTGAATTACTTATATGAAATATTTATTAATTTTATTGGTAATTAATTTATGGAAGAAAACATGAATAATCATAATAATAATTAAAAAAAAAGGTCAGATTAATATAAATGGGTTTTGTTCTTATTCGAGGAACACTGTTCGAATTTTTCTTCTCGTCAGATTTGTGTTTGGTTGATAATAAAACATGAATTCAGGATTATTATTGTTTTTTTTTTCCTTTGGTATCCTTTGTCATGTGCCATTGCCCATTGGCCTTCTTTAAAGTGGGTGGCCTTTCTTGGTTGTTCTGAAAAGCTTTTTTAATTATTTTTTCTTTGCGGTATGCTTATAAATATAATATGCAGACCTATTATTTAAAATAAGTTGAATATATTATATTAATATATTAGTCGTAACATTCTTTACGAGTCTATTTAAAAGATGTATTGTTTGACAAAAGCCTACTATAATTCCTCAAAATTAAAAGGTGTTAAAAAAATGATTAACTCGGGTGATTTTTAAGTAGGATTTTATATTATAGTTTTATATAAATAAAAAAGTTTTAAAAGGAAATTTTGTACCCAATCAGTTTTTTTTTTATAAATTGATTATTAATAAAAGTAATAAATACTTTATAATTAAAAAACAAAAGTAGGGGAAAACCTAGTGGCGAAGTGACGGAAGGTGGGGACCCAAAGCAGAAAGTAAGAATAGGTTTGATGAAAATAAAGTGTCCATTTATGTTTCGTAACTTTCCTTCAATCCAAGGTCAATAAATTTCAAATTCAAACAATCAACGCCAGTAAAGATAGGAATTCAAAAGGCTGCGCTGTAAATAAAAATACATTATTATTAACTTTGAAATTATATCATTTTTATGTATCGTAATTAAATTTAATATATTTAATATTAAAAAAATTTAATAACTCATACTTTTTATTTAACTAATTAAATTTATTAATATTAAATTGCATTCATCTCACTGGACTGATCAATCAGGTTTGTTAATATCCACGCGTATTGAAAAAATACAAATTGTAATTTTGTGCAATAATATTTTTAATAATTTTTTAATTAATATATTTTTGAAATCTTTTTATTATGAAAGAATTTTTAGAAGTTTTTTTAACATCTTATTTTATTTATTATATTTATTTATAAATTAAATTTTAATATTTTAAAATATATTAATAATTAAGATAATCTTGTAATATAATATAAATTATATATCGTAAATATAAAATATAACTTACATGTTTAAAAGTATTTTAAGATGTGCTATTTTATTTATATATTTTATTAATTAAAAAGAATCTTGTGAGTTTTTATTTAAAAACATGAGCTATTTTATTAGTATATTTTATTAAAATTGTAACACTATACTCAGGCAAATTGAGTAAGTGTGAGAATTTTTAACCATAAGTCTAGTTGACCTCAAACAGAAAGGCATATAACATTCTATTTTGAACAGAGATCGTAATCTTTTTTTTCTGTAGAAACTTTAGATAGATAGTGATTTAAAGAGAAGAGCTTTGATTTTTCTTCCCATTTTCTTTATAGGTTCCTCTGGAATGGGAGAGCTGTAGTTGGGAGTGTTAGATTTGAAGTTATATGGGCTTGGAGTTGGTGCGAAACTCATCTTCTTCGAGCTTGAAGTGGTTCTTCCTTCTCCTTCCTCTTTTTTAGGCTTAGAGATAGAGGTAAGGGAATGTAGGATGAATTGGTTGTTTGATTTGATGAATTGTGGTTAGAGTCGGATTGAAGGGTGAAGGGTTTTGGTGTTCTTGGGTGTTGAGGTGAAATTTGGTGATTTGCTTAATTTTTGGTTGCATGTGTTGCTTTTTGTTTCAAATGTGTTGTGTATGATGGATATACATGGTTTGTTGTAAAAAAAATGTTGGTGGTTTTCTAATTTTCAGGTGCTTGGGGTGATTTTCGTGATCTATATTTGCACATAAATATCACAGTCATGCCATGCGCACCTTCATGGCGTCAAGCGTAGTTCCAACTAGAGGCATCTATCTTGATCACGTCGAGCACAAGATTGGTGACGTCAAGCGTGAGGTGAGAGACTCATCTTAGATTGGGATAACATTAGGTGCGATTTGAACAGCGTCGGGCGTGAGAATAATGGAAGTCTCTGACTTTGTGACACCAAGTGCCGCTGGGCGTGAGTTGGGTAAAGACTCTCTATCTGATATGAAGTCAAGCATGGGTTTTGCCACAGTAGACACGAGGTCCTAGGGGATCTCCACCTTAGCTATGTTCGGGTGCAGTTTGGATGGCGTCAAGCGTGAGTGAGGCAAAGAATTCCTTGTCTCGATGCCACCAGGTGCAAGATAAGTTGCGTTGGGCGTAGGATGCCTAAATGATATGTTGGTGTATTGGTGAATTTGTATAATGTATGAGAATGGTTCCATATATGTTGATTTGATATGACATATATAGATGATTGTATAATGATTATTCTACATGTGTTGATTGGATATGACATGTATAGATGTTTGTATGATGTTGTTGTTGATATTTATATGTGTTGACTGAATGTGATGTATATAATAGATGTATGATGAGGTGTAGATGTTGAAAATGCGATATGACATTAAGGCATGTTGGCTAACTTAAGACTTAAGGAGAGAAAATTATTTTGAAAACTGAAGATCTCACATAGGGTATCTTGGAGTGGTGCTTGGATAGCTCACTATTAGAAAACCCTCATTGAGTGGGTGTGTCTCTTGGAGTGGGTTTTTTTAGGTGTGTTGGGTCTCTTATAGGTCTTTAATTAGTGATTGAGTAAAGTAGGAAGTCGAGGGCTACAACCCTTAACAAAGTACTTGGAAAGGTTGCATGGTTTATTAAGGATGGTCAATGGGCTAACTTCATATGCGAATTGATAATGCATGTCAAGGTCATGTTACGCATATACCCAGTTGCATCACTTCTAATGGTGGAACCGGAATTTCCTAGTGTAAATGATGAGACCTAAGAAACTAGAGAAAGGATTGGTATCCCATTTTGTTGTGATCGAGTCATCGTTTAAGGCGTGAAAACGATTGGGTTAGTTTGGTAGGTGAAAATTACTTAAACTACTTATGTTGTTAAAAGATCTCCGTAGGTGAATACATGACGATGCATTAATTGAGGTGTTTGCATATGATACATGTTATGTAGTGTTCGTATGCATTGTTAGATGTCTTATGTGACGTGACTTTGATGAGATACGTGTTTACTTAGAGTGTTGTAGCGTTCATATATGATTTTGGTGTGATATCATATATTATATTAAGTGAAATAACTCTATTAAGAATTATTATTGGAGTAAGAGGATCTCTCATATATAAATGATAGACACACCCGCACGCATATATATATATATATATATATATATATATATAAAGGAGATACAAACTTGTGCAACTTCTTTGATCTCCACTTTTTAGATTATTATAAAAGTATATTTGGATATAGACTTAGAAGCAATTTTGAGAATTTATTTATTAAAAAATACTCCTTATTTTTAATAGAGAAGCTTTAAAAACGTTTCTAGACTCAATCTTCAAATAGAAATCACTCACTATCATCTAACTTTTGTTATTTTTTTTATTTTTTAAAAATTATTTTTGAAATAAACATACATTGGTACAAAGTGATTTTTTTTTCTTAGAACTTTACCTTAGTATAATACACTCACATTTAATGTAATTCTCACTAATATATTTTTATGCATACGATTAAAATAAAACATTAATTCTCATTAGAGAGCAACACCAATCATACCTTAAAAAAATTATAGTTAAATTTTATCCTTTCCAAAACTCGTGTTACAATGAAGGGTGGATACAGTTAAGATTTGGTTATAATGCTAGTTGGTAAATCAAGTCACAAGATTATGTGATTAACAAAAATAACTGAGATATTTTATCAAAAACCCTAAACAAAAATAACTATATCAAAGAATAACATATAATAAAGGGGAATGTTAATATACTCTCACCTATTTTTTAGTTGGAATATGTTAGCAACCTACACCAAAATTTTAGGACAATAAAACCACTCATTTCTTTTGATTTGATTAATTTGTATAAAGGATATTATAGTAATTTAATTTAATTTTAAAAGAAAATAAGTCATTTTTCTCTCCTATTAAATTCTTTCTCCAACCCATTTCTTTTTTTTTATTAATTAATTTTTTTTTATGTTCAGAGAGAGAGAAGATATCATGAGAGATGAGAGAGAAAATGTTTTATTTTCTTTTAAAATTAAATTAAATGAGGCTAAAAACCTATTTTAGTCTCTTATAATAATTGTTTGTTTCAATTTAGTCCCACTTTTATTTTTGGTCTTAATTTGATCCCTAATAAATTAATTGGTTGCAATGTAGGACTTCCGTCTAAATTATTTAAACGGAGTTAACTGTTGGTCACGTGGCATGCACATGGATGCCACGTAGATGTATAGGTGACTGTCACGTGGATGTCAAATTTTTTGAAAATACCTGGAATCAGAACGGCCCGTTCTGGAACCAGAACGGCCCGTTCTGGAACCAGAACGGCCCGTTCTGAAACTAGAACGGGTCGTTCTGGGTGCGCTCTTGGTGTGTTAATTTTGCACTTGGAATGGCCCGTTCCATGTGCAAATTTAACACACTAAAAGTGCAACCAGAACGGACCATTCTGATTTCAGAACAGGTCGTTCTGG